AAGGTCAAGCGTTCATCACAAGGGACAATCAGCGCAAAGGGCGACCAGTGAAGAAGTCCTGGCCGTGCCACAATTGCGGAAAGATTGGTCACTGGATGGCGGAGTGCCCCTCGCGCATCCAAGAAAACACGGAGAGACACCGGCCACAGCGTGCTCAAGACAGCGGCGACCGCTATCGATCACAACGTGCAAACGTCGCTCAAGAAGAAGACTCGGGCGACTACCTCTTTTCGATCGGTGAAACGACATCTGCGAAATCGAGCGACATCTGGCTGGTCGACTCCGGGGCGACGCAGCACATGACGTGCTCCAAGAAGTTCATGCGGAACTACAAGGGGTTTGACGCTGTGGATGTCCATCTCGCGGATGATGGAATCGTCCAAGCAATCGGCAGTGGGGACATTGTCATGTCGATGAAGACACCCCAAGGGATGAAGAAAGGTGTGCTCACAAACGTGTGGCACATCCCAAAGTTATCCAGAAACCTGTTCTCGGTCGGCCGCTTCACCAAGGATGTCGGCCCAGTGACGTTCACGAAGGATGGGTGCTATGGAGAAGCGAAAGGGACCAAGTGGAAAATTGGTGCCCGTGAAGGTAAAGGACTGTTCAAGCTGCAAATGACTCCAGTGGCGCCGGAACAAGCAAATGCAGCCAAGTCGTCGGGATGTCAAGGGGGCACCAAGTCGTACCTCTGGCACCTTCGGCTTGGCCACATAGGTCACGATGGACTCAATTGCATCGTGACGAAGAACATTGGAATTGGCATCGACATATCTTCGGTGAAGAAGTGGGACGTGTGTGAAGGTTGTGCTCTGGGAAAACAGACTCGAGTGCGCTTCCAATCAAACACTACAGCTCGCACCTCCAAACTCCTCGAAGTGATTCACAGCGACGTATGCGGACCGATGTCGATGGCAACTTTCAGTGGAAAACGGTACTTCGTGACATTCATTGATGACAAGTCAAGATACTGTGTCGTCTATCTGCTCAAGAGCAAATCTGAAGTTGCGGCGAAGTTCATGGAATACGCTGCGATGGCCGAAACGCAAACCGGAAAGCGCGTGAAGTACCTTCAAAGCGACAATGGGGGTGAATACAAGTCCGACAAGCTGGCACGATTCTGCGCGGAACGGGGAATACAACAAAGGTTCACACCCCCATATACTCCTCAGCTAAACGGAGTAGCTGAGAGAATGAATCGCACGCTGGTCGAGTGTGCGCGTTGCATGATGGAACACGCTGGACTGGGAAAGAGCTACTGGGGTGAAGCAGTGATGACGGCGATGTTTCTTCGAAACCGCTGTCCAACACGTGCCATTCACCAAGACAAGTCTCCATATCAAGTGTGGACGATGAAGAAACCGATTCTGGCCAACCTTAAAGTGTTTGGATGCCACGCGTATGTTCAAGTGCCTCAAGACAAACGCGCGAAGTTCGACTCCAAGTCATCACTCTGTCGTTTCCTGGGATACGCCGAACACCAGAAGTCATATCGATTTGAGGAAGTGTCAACAGGAGCGATCAAGATCAGTCGCGATGCCACATTCATGGAAGACAAGTTTGATGAAGGTCCGCGCAACTACAACGATGAGTCAAGTGTCGTTGAGTTTGATGATCATGATGAGGACGAAGAAAAAGAAGAAGGTAAAACTGACGACGACATGGACTCGAGCGACGATGACAACGAAGACACCAGGTCTTCGAAGAGCAACATCAAGAGACACACGCGCACTCAATCACTTGAGAAAGCTACCGTCATTCCAAGTCCCAAGCGAAGAACATACAGAGGTCCGTCGCTTGAGCATGTGTCAGCGGCTGCAATGGATTTTGAAGCAGCCTACATCGTTGATTCAGTGGGGGAAACGCCGACTACATTCAAGTCGGCGATGGAATCAAGCGACTCCGGCAAGTGGAAAGAAGCGTGTGACTCGGAGTTCGACTCGCTTCAGAGAAACGACACGTGGGAAATCGTGCCTCTTCCGAAAGGTCGCAAGGCCATCGGGTGCCGATGGGTTTTTCGTGTAAAGGAGAATCAAGATGGCGAAGTTGAACATTTCAAGGCAAGACTTGTGGCCAAAGGATTCTCACAGAAATTCGGAGTTGACTATGAAGAAACTTTCGCACCGGTGGCCAAGTTCACATCGATTCGTGTGGTGCTCAGTATGGCGGCTAAGTACGGCCTAATGCTACATCAGATGGACGTCAAGACAGCGTTTCTTAACGGCTCCCTCAACGAAGACATCTACATGGACCAGCCGGACGGATACCTGGATGCAACACAGCCGGACTATGTGTGCAAGCTAAAGAGATCACTCTACGGCTTGAAGCAATCGCCTCGCATGTGGAACCAAACAATCGATGGGTTCATGATCAAGATGGGATTCAAGAAGTGCGAATCGGACCACTGCATCTACATCAAGCGAGACGACCAAGACATGATTCTCGTGGTGCTCTACGTCGATGATCTCATCCTGGCCAGCAGCAACAACGAACTCCTCAAGTCAACCAAGATGGCGCTGAGCAAACGCTTCGAAATGACGGATCTCGGTGAGCTCGATTACTTTCTCGGCATGGAGATCAAGAACGACCGTAAGACGGGAATGGTGACTGTACAACAAACCAAGTTCCTCAAGTCCGTGTTAACCAAGTTCGGAATGGATAACAGCAAGCCAGTGAAGACGCCTCAAGATCCCGGCCTGAAGCTAACCAAGAACATGTGTGAACAAGAATGCAAGCACGAAGACACCATGTGCAACGTGCCATATCGAAGTGCTGTCGGAGGCATCATGTATCTCATGGTCGCCACACGTCCGGATCTAGCTGCTGCAGTGGGATCATTATCCCAGTTCTCGTCCGACCCATGCCCGACTCACTGGCAAGCTTTGAAGCGTGTGCTGAGATACCTGCAAGCAACGCCCAATCATGGTCTTGAGTTTACACGTGAAGAAGGAAGCCGTATCTGCGGGTACACCGACGCAGACTGGGCCGGCGACATTGAGTCAAGACGAAGTACAAGCGGCTATGTGTTCATGATGAGCGGAGGATGCATCAGCTGGAAAAGCCAGAAACAACGGACGGTCGCGCTATCTTCAACAGAAGCAGAATACATGGCGCTTTCCGAAGCAACCAAAGAAGCAGTATGGCTCAAAGTGCTTTTGGGGGAACTTGGTGAGATGACAAGCGACGAAGCGATCAAGATGTATGAAGACAACCAAGGATCAATCGCTCTCGCCAAGAACCCGGAGTTCCATAAGAGAACAAAACACATCGACATACGCTACCATTTTGTGCGTGAGAAGGTGGAATCAGGTGAAGTCGTTTTGGAGTATTGCCCGACTCAAGATATGCTGGCAGACATGATGACCAAGCCGATCGCCGCTGTACAATTTGAAAACATTCGCGATCGACTTGGGATCCATGGTGCCGCAGCTAACGAGTCGAGAGGGAGTGTTGAAAAGACAGCGGCTGTGAAGAAGACACCTCGTCAAGCTGCGTCAAGTGTTGAAGCAAGTGGAAGACCAAGCTTCGCTATACCGGTGGGTACCGGTATGTACCAGTAAGGGCGAAGTCAGGAAATGACGTCACTGGATGACGTCAGTGGGTGACGTCAGTGGGTGACGTCACTGGATGACGTCACTGCGAATAATAGGCTTAGAGGTAGTATTCAAAGTTGCGAACTAAGTACCTATTATAAATATATATTCACTTTGCGTTTTGCACTCGGACCAAGAAGTCTAAAGTTCATCATTCCGAAGCAACCAAAGAAGCAGTATGGCTCAAAGTGCTTTTGGGGGAACTTGGTGAGATGACAAGCGACGAAGCGATCAAGATGTATGAAGACAACCAAGGATCAATCGCTCTCGCCAAGAACCCGGAGTTCCATAAGAGAACAAAACACATCGACATACGCTACCATTTTGTGCGTGAGAAGGTGGAATCAGGTGAAGTCGTTTTGGAGTATTGCCCGACTCAAGATATGCTGGCAGACATGATGACCAAGCCGATCGCCGCTGTACAATTTGAAAACATTCGCGATCGACTTGGGATCAAGGTGCCGCAGCTAACGAGTCGAGAGGGAGTGTTGAAAAGACAGCGGCTGTGAAGAAGACACCTCGTCAAGCTGCGTCAAGTGTTGAAGCAAGTGGAAGACCAAGCCTCGCTATACCGGTGGGTACCGGTATGTACCAGTATAGGGCGAAGATCAGGAAATGACGTCACTGGATGACGTCATTGGATGACGTCAGTGGGTGACGTCAGTGGGTGACGTCACTGGATGACGTCACTGCGAATAATAGGCTTAGAGGTAGTATTCAAAGTTGCGAACTAAGTACCTATTATAAATATATATTCACTTTGCGTTTTGCACTCGGACCAAGAAGTCTAAAGTTCATCAATGACGTGCTCCAAGAAGTTCATGCGGAACTACAAGGGGTTTGACGCTGTGGATGTCCATCTCGCGGGTTTATGATGGTGTTGACGGTCATCGGTTTCTACCAGTATTGGTAACCGTGACCGGTCCAATCCGAACCGCCTGTTTAGCTTAGTATTTACGACGTAGTTCTTACGGTAATTACCATAGTTGATTAGACGCGTAGGATGATGAGACGCTTCACATGATTTATATGTGCACCACATATAAATCATGTAGTAAGTAGTAAGCCCCGATAATCAATCACTTTCCAATCTTCCATCTACCCCAAGTGTCTTCTCCGGTCTTCCGAGTGGACTCTCAGCATCCCTCCCAGTTTCGGTCGTCAAGCTCTTCATCATTCAACAGGTTATGAGCCCAAGCACGATGTCCTCTGCCCATGATGCCACCACCAAGATCTCCATCGACAAGTTCGACGGCGACAACTACGCGACGTGGAGCCGCTACATGCGTGGCGTGTTCCTGACCAAGTCGGCGTGGCACGTGGTGAACCGGGAGACCACCCCCCACCTTCGCCGATCCTCGCGCCAGTGACGACTACGTCAAGACGAACAACATTGCGTTCGGCTTGATGCTGCTGCACATGAGCGCAGATTATCATCACGTGGTTGATGACTGTGAAGAGGCGTGGGTCGCGTGGGCGCGTTTGAAGACGCTGTACGGCGGGTCGCAGAAGGCTGGACGCATCTACTTGAAGCGCCAGCTGTTCAGCATGGAGATGGCGGAAGGCGGCAATGTGATGCATCATTGCAACGAAGTCCTCAACATCAGCGCGAAGCTCAGCAGCATCGGCGCCAAGATGGAGGACGAGGACGTGGCGATCTGCTTGTTGCGCAGCCTCCCCAAGAGCTACGAGAATGTCGTTCTCAACTTGGAGATGAGCAGCGCGGAACTGCGATCGCGAGACGTCGTGAGAGTGCTCACGAATGAGCACATCAAGAGGCAAGGTGACAAGACGACATCGGTGAAGACTGAAGACGCGGCGAAGGCGTTCAGTACCGAGCGTGAACCTCGCCAGTGTACATACTGCGGAAAATTGGGGCACACGGCGGAGCGGTGCTGGACCAAGCAGAAGGACGAGAATCAAGGTGGAGCTCGACGCGGCGGCAACAATGCTCGTGGACGCGGAGCCAACAACGTTCAGTGGCGAACCAACAGCAACTACGACGACAACTGCGATCGAGTTGCGTTCGCGGTTTCGCTGGAGGCCGGACTTTCGACGGGCAAGAATATGCCAGGGATGTGGGCAGTCGACAGCGGTGCGACGCATCACATCTGCAACGACAAGGCCAAGTTTGCAAGCCTGAATGAGCGAGAGGAAGGCGAACTATCAGTGGCTGATGGCAGCAAGGCTGCGATCAAGGGTGTGGGAACCATCATGGAACGGGTGGTTCTGCCCAATGGTGACGAACGCGACATCGAGATCAAGGACGCGCTGTTCGTACCAAGCATGAGCAAGAATCTGCTTTCGGTGCCACAGATCAACAAGGGTGGGAGGTTCCAAGTCGTGTTCGATGGATCCAAGATGCAAGTGAAGCGCAAGAATTCCACACAAGTCGTGGCAACAGCGGATCTCGTCGATGGACTTTACTGGCTGCGGACTCCTCAACGATCGGCGAATGCAGCAACACGCAATGGGACCATCGACTTGCATGCGCGCATGGGTCATGCACCTCTCGAAGTTCTGCGCAAGATGATGGCCACTGGCATGATCAAGGACGCCAAGGCACCTCTCAACTCGACTGGTCCAAGTGTGTGTCGCGGTTGCCAGCAAGGAAAGATGGTCCAAAACCATTCCCAACCAACCGTGACAAACGCCAATATGGTATGTTCGAGTTGCTGCACTTCGACATCTGCGGGCCAATGGAACAAGTCTCGATCGGCGGCAGCAAATACTTACTGCTTGTGGTTGACGAAGCTAGCGGTTGCATGAAGGGCTTCTGTCTGCGGTCCAAGTCTGAGAGTGAAGACTGTATCAAGAACCACATCATCAAGATTCAAACACAGTTCGGCACGAAGATCAAGTTTGTTCGGCACGATGGAGCGCATGAATTTGCGACCAACTCGATCAAGACCTTCTACGAAGATCATGGTATCGAACAACAGATCACGGTGCCGTATGCACACCAGACCAACGGCACCGCAGAACGCGCGATAAGGACCATCGTCACGATCGGACGCAGCTTGTTGCATCATGCAAAGCTGGAGAAGTGTTTCTGGGCTGAAGCGGCAATGACGGCGATCTACATCAAGAACCGCCTGCCTTCACCCAAGATCGACCACAAGACTCCGTTCGAGATCGTGTACAAGTCGAAACCAAGTGTCAAGCACATGCGCGTGTTTGGATGTCGGGCGTTTATCCTGACACCAAGGGAGAAGCGATTGAAGTGGGACCCGAAGGCTCGTGAAGGGATGTTCATGGGCTACGAAGAAGTGTCAAAAGCTTATCGAGTGTACGACATTGAGGCGGACCAAGTGGTGATCAGTCGTGACATCACCTTCGACGAATCGACTTTTGACTTTTCGATGGACCGACCAAGTGACGATGATGAAGATGCGGAGTTGGATCTCGACCTCCTGGCGATCAACGAGGACGACGTGCGTCAAACTGTCTACAAGCAGACTGGCAAGCGCAAGAGTGAAGCAAGACCCGGCATGTCACGTTCAGCTCGCCCTCGAACTGGATTGGAACAAGCAAGTGCGCCGGCACACGTCTCCAACCGTCACCAGAAACGACGATCAAGTGCTCCAGAAACGATGTCTGATGACGAAGAAGATGCAAGCGTCTACGATCAAGATGACGACTTGACGCCTCCAACATTTTGGCGTGCAAGTGCAAACGCAGTGGAAGCAACGGACCTAGCAGAACCTGTGACTTTTCAAGACGCGATCAATGGTCCTGATCAAGCTCACTGGCGAAATGCTGTGAAGGCGGAACTCAAGTCGATGCATCTTCGTGGAGTTTTCCGTGCGGCAAAACTACCAAGAGGCCAAGGCGCGATCGGCACCAAGTGGGTGTTCAAGATCAAGCGCAAAGCGGATGGATCGGTCGAGAAATACAAGGCGCGTCTCGTTGCCAAGGGCTTCAAGCAGAAGTACGGCATCGACTACACAGAGACGTTCTCGCCCGTGGTCAAGTACGTGACACTGCGTATGGTGATCGCGATCACCAAGTATTTCGACTGGCCACTGGACCAACTCGATGTGGTGACAGCCTTTCTCTACGGAGTGATGAAGGAGAAGGTGTACTGCGTGGTACCAGAAGGCGTCGAGATGGATGGCGACTTCGACTGTCTCGAGTTGGTGAAGGCGATCTACGGTCTCAAGCAAGCTTCACGTGTGTGGAACGAGACTTTCGATGAGTTCGTATGCTCTATCGGTTTCGAAGCGTCGGCGTTCGACCCATGTCTCTACATCAAGGTTGTCGATGGTCACTGTGTGCTCGTGCTGGTCTACGTGGATGACGTGTTGGTCACCGGCAGCTCGCTCGAGTTGATTGCGCAGACGAAGGCCGACCTCAAGACGCGTTTCGAGATGACCGACAGTGGCAAGTGTACTTTTGTACTGGGCATCGAACTGGTGGACGAATCGGATGGCAGCGTGACGATGTGCCAGCGACGGTATGTCAACGACATCCTCAAGCGCTTCGGCATGGATGAGTGCAAGGCCACATCAAGTCCGGTCGACTTGAGCACTCGGCTTGTCGCAAGCACCGAAGCGGCCAAGATCGACGTTCCGTTTCGTGAAGCTGTGGGAGCTTTGATGCACTTGACGACTGCGACGCGCCCGGACATTGCGTATGCTGTGGGGTACGTCTCGCGCTTCATGGAGAATCCGCAGCAAGAACATTGGACGGCGGTGAAGCGCATCTTTCGTTACTTGCAAGGGACCAAGTCGCACGGACTCCGATTCCAGCCAAGCGATAAGATCGACTTTCGTGGCTACTCGGACGCGGACTGGGCCGGCGACCACGCTGATCGCAAGTCGACTTCGGGTTACACTTTCATGCTGATGGGTGCTCCTGTGAGTTGGGGAAGCAAGAAGCAGTCAAGTGTGTCGCTGTCGACGAGTGAAGCGGAATACATCGCACTGAGTCTGGCCATCCAGGAAGGCAAGTGGGTGCATCGCCTGCTATGCGAGATTTTGGCGGCCGCAAACGAACCAGGACCGGACCTCGTCATCCGTGAAGACAACCAGTCGTGCATCAAGATGACGAGAATCCGGTGAAACATGGCCGTGCCAAGCACATCGACATCAAGTACCATCACATCCGTGATGAGGTCAAGTGCGGCGAAGTGCAGCTCGAGTATTGCGAGACTTCCGTGATGATGGCGGACATCATGACCAAGGGACTTTCGGGACCTCGTCACAAGGACTTGACGACGGCTCTCGGCATTCGTGCGAGTTCGGATTGAGGGGGCGTGTTGACGGTCATCGGTTTCTACCAGTATTGGTAACCGTGACCGGTCCAATCCGAACCGCCTGTTCAGCTTAGTATTTACGACGTAGTTCTTACGGTAATTACCATAGTTGATTAGACGCGTAGGATGATGAGACGCTTCACATGATTTATATGTGCACCACATATAAATCATGTAGTAAGTAGTAAGCCCCGATAATCAATCACTTTCCAATCTTCCATCTACCCCAAGTGTCTTCTCCGGTCTTCCGAGTGGACTCTCAGCATGTTGAAAAGACAGCGGCTGTGAAGAAGACACCTCGTCAAGCTGCGTCAAGTGTTGAAGCAAGTGGAAGACCAAGCTTCGCTATACCGGTGGGTACCGGTATGTACCAGTAAGGGCGAAGTCAGGAAATGACGTCACTGGATGACGTCACTGCGAATAATAGGCTTAGAGGTAGTATTCAAAGTTGCGAACTAAGTACCTATTATAAATATATATTCACTTTGCGTTTTGCACTCGGACCAAGAAGTCTAAAGTTCATCAGGTTATGAGCCCAAGTTCGTCAGACTCTGAAACCGCCAACAATTCAAGCTTAGCTGCCATGGACGCCTCCTCCCTCCGCATCTCCAAGTTCGATGGAACTAACTTCCACGCCTGGAAGTTCAAGATGCAGATGGTGCTGGAGGAACGGGACCTATGGGAGGTCGTCAGCGGTGAGATCAAGGCGGAACAGTGCGAGACTCAGTTGGACCAAGCGACGTACAAGAGGAAGTCAAGAAAGGCGATGGCAGTGATCTGTCTAGCCATGGAAGATTCCCAGCTACCGTTGGTCCGGTCGGCAAGTGGTGCATGCGACGCATGGTCAAGGTTGGAAGACCACTTCGAGAAGAAGAGTCTTGCCAACAAGCTGTTCTTGCGCCGTCGCTTCTTCACGACAATGATGGAAGAAGGCGACGATGTGCTCGAACACATCAACAAGCTCAAGACGCTGGCGGAACAGCTAGAAGCGGTGGGGGCTCCAGTCTGCGAGGACGATCTGGTGATCACACTCCTCGGCAGCCTGAGTGACTCGTATCAATTCTTGATCACAGCTTTGGAGTCGCGCTCAGACACTCTTAGCTGGGAGCTCGTGACGTCTCGACTGCTTCATGAAGAAATGAAGCGGAAGGAGCAAGGGAAGTAAAGGTGATGAAGCTTCGCAAGGTCAAGCGTTCATCACAAGGGACAATCAGCGCAAAGGGCGACCAGTGAAGAAGTCCTGGCCGTGCCACAATTGCGGAAAGATTGGTCACTGGATGGCGGAGTGCCCCTCGCGCATCCAAGAAAACACGGAGAGACACCGGCCACAGCGTGCTCAAGACAGCGGCGACCGCTATCGATCACAACGTGCAAACGTCGCTCAAGAAGAAGACTCGGGCGACTACCTCTTTTCGATCGGTGAAACGACATCTGCGAAATCGAGCGACATCTGGCTGGTCGACTCGGGAGCGACGCAGCACATGACGTGTTCCAAGAAGTTCATGCGGAACTACAAGGGGTTTGACGCTGTGGATGTCCATCTAGCGGATGATGGAATCGTCCAAGCAATCGGCAGTGGGGACATTGTCATGTCGATGAAGACACCCCAAGGGATGAAGAAAGGTGTGCTCACAAACGTGTGGCACATCCCAAAAGTTATCCAGAAACCTGTTCTCGGTCGGCCGCTTCACCAAGGATGTCGGCCCAGTGACGTTCACGAAGGATGGGTGCTATGGAGAAGCGAAAGGGACCAAGTGGAAAATTGGTGCCCGTGAAGGTAAAGGACTGTTCAAACTGCAAATTGATGAACTTTAGACTTCTTGGTCCGAGTGCAAAACGCAAAGTGAATATATATTTATAATAGGTACTTAGTTCGCAACTTTGAATACTACCTCTAAGCCTATTATTTGCAGTGACGTCATCCAGTGACGTCACCCACTGACGTCACCCACTGACGTCATGCAATGACGTCATCCAGTGACGTCATTTCCTGACTTCGCCCTTACTGGTACATACCGGTACCCACCGGTATAGCGAAGCTTGGTCTTCCACTTGCTTCAACACTTGACGCAGCTTGACGAGGTGTCTTCTTCACAGCCGCTGTCTTTTCAACACTCCCTCTCGACTCGTTAGCTGCGGTACCTTGGATCCCAAGTCGATCGCGAATGTTTTCAAATTGTACAGCGGCGATCGGCTTGGTCATCATGTCTGCCAGCATATCTTGAGTCGGGCAATACTCCAAAACGACTTCACCTGATTCCACCTTCTCACGCACAAAATGGTAGCGTATGTCGATGTGTTTTGTTCTCTTATGGAACTCCGGGTTCTTGGCGAGAGCGATTGATCCTTGGTTGTCTTCATACATCTTGATCGCTTCGTCGCTTGTCATCTCACCAAGTTCCCCCAAAAGCACCTTGAGCCATACTGCTTCTTTGGTTGCTTCGGAAAGCGCCATGTATTCTGCTTCTGTTGAAGATAGCGCGACCGTCCGTTGTTTCTGGCTTTTCCAGCTGATGCATCCTCCGCTCATCATGAACACATAGCCGCTTGTACTTCGTCTTGACTCAATGTCGCCGGCCCAGTCTGCGTCGGTGTACCCGCAGATACGGCTTCCTTCTTCACGTGTAAACTCAAGACCATGATTGGGCGTTGCTTGCAGGTATCTCAGCACACGCTTCAAAGCTTGCCAGTGAGTCGGGCATGGGTCGGACGAGAACTGGGATAATGATCCCACTGCAGCAGCTAGATCCGGACGTGTGGCGACCATGAGATACATGATGCCTCCGACAGTGATGAACTTTAGACTTCTTGGTCCGAGTGCAAAACGCAAAGTGAATATATATTTATAATAGGTACTTAGTTCGCAACTTTGAATACTACCTCTAAGCCTATTATTCGCAGTGACGTCATCCAGTGACGTCACCCACTGACGTCACCCACTGACGTCATGCAATGACGTCATCCAGTGACGTCATTTCCTGACTTCGCCCTTACTGGTACATACCGGTACCCACCGGTATAGCGAAGCTTGGTCTTCCACTTGCTTCAACACTTGACGCAGCTTGACGAGGTGTCTTCTTCACAGCCGCTGTCTTTTCAACACTCCCTCTCGACTCGTTAGCTGCGGCACCTTGGATCCCAAGTCGATCGCGAATGTTTTCAAATTGTACAGCGGCGATCGGCTTGGTCATCATGTCTGCCAGCATATCTTGAGTCGGGCAATACTCCAAAACGACTTCACCTGATTCCACCTTCTCACGCACAAAATGGTAGCGTATGTCGATGTGTTTTGTTCTCTTATGGAACTCCGGGTTCTTGGCGAGAGCGATTGATCCTTGGTTGTCTTCATACATCTTGATCGCTTCGTCGCTTGTCATCTCACCAAGTTCCCCCAAAAGCACTTTGAGCCATACTGCTTCTTTGGTTGCTTCGGAAAGCGCCATGTATTCTGCTTCTGTTGAAGATAGCGCGACCGTCCGTTGTTTCTGGCTTTTCCAGCTGATGCATCCTCCGCTCATCATGAACACATAGCCGCTTGTACTTCGTCTTGACTCAATGTCGCCGGCCCAGTCTGCGTCGGTGTACCCGCAGATACGGCTTCCTTCTTCACGTGTAAACTCAAGACCATGATTGGGAGTTGCTTGCAGGTATCTCAGCACACGCTTCAAAGCTTGCCAGTGAGTCGGGCATGGGTCGGACGAGAACTGGGATAATGATCCCACTGCAGCAGCTAGATCCGGACGTGTGGCGACCATGAGATACATGATGCCTCCGACAGCACTTCGATATGGCACGTTGCACATGGTGTCTTCGTGCTTGCATTCTTGTTCACACATGTTCTTGGTTAGCTTCAGGCCGGGATCTTGAGGCGTCTTCACTGGCTTGCTGTTATCCATTCCGAACTTGGTTAACACGGACTTGAGAAACTTGGTTTGTTGTACGGTCACCATTCCCGTCTTACGGTCGTTCTTGATCTCCATGCCGAGAAAGTAATCGAGCTCACCGAGATCCGTCATTTCGAAGCGTTTGCTCAGCGCCATCTTGGTTGACTTGAGGAGTTCGTTGTTGCTGCTGGCCAGGATGAGATCATCGACGTAGAGCACCACGAGAATCATGTCTTGGTCGTCTCGCTTGATGTAGATGCAGTGGTCCGATTCGCACTTCTTGAATCCCATCTTGATCATGAACCCATCGATTGTTTGGTTCCACATGCGAGGCGATTGCTTCAAGCCGTAGAGTGATCTCTTTAGCTTGCACACATAGTCCGGCTGTGTTGCATCCAGGTATCCGTCCGGCTGGTCCATGTAGATGTCTTCGTTGAGGGAGCCGTTAAGAAACGCTGTCTTGACGTCCATCTGATGTAGCATTAGGCCGTACTTAGCCGCCATACTGAGCACCACACGAATCGATGTGAACTTGGCCACCGGTGCGAAAGTTTCTTCATAGTCAACTCCGAATTCCTGTGAGAATCCTTTGGCCACAAGTCTTGCCTTGAAACGTTCAACTTCGCCATCTTGATTCTCCTTTACACGAAAAACCCATCGGCACCCGATGGCCTTGCGACCTTTCGGAAGAGGCACGATTTCCCACGTGTCGTTTCTCTGAAGCGAATCGAACTCCGAGTCACACGCTTCTTTCCACTTGCCGGAGTCGCTTGATTCCATCGCCGACTTGAATGTAGTCGGCGTTTCCCCACTGAATCAACGATGTAGGCTGCTTCAAAATCCATTGCAGCCGCTGACACATGCTCAAGCGACGGACCTCTGTATGTTCTTCGCTTGGGACTTGGAATGACGGTAGCTTTCTCAAGTGATTGAGTGCGCGTGTGTCTCTTGATGTTGCTCTTCGAAGACCTGGTGTCTTCGTTGTCATCGTCGCTCGAGTCCATGTCGTCGTCAGTTTTACCTTCTTCTTTTTCTTCGTCCTCATCATGATCATCAAACTCAACGACACTTGACTCATCGTTGTAGTTGCGCGGACCTTCATCAAACTTGTCTTCCATGAATGTGGCATCGCGACTGATCTTGATCGCTCCTGTTGACACTTCCTCAAATCGATATGACTTCTGGTGTTCGGCGTATCCCAGGAAACGACAGAGTGATGACTTGGAGTCGAACTTCGCGCGTTTGTCTTGAGGCACTTGAACATACGCGTGGCATCCAAACACTTTAAGGTTGGCCAGAATCGGTTTCTTCATCGTCCACACTTGATATGGAGACTTGTCTTGGTGAATGGCACGTGTTGGACAGCGGTTTCGAAGAAACATCGCCGTCATCACTGCTTCACCCCAGTAGCTCTTTCCCAGTCCAGCGTGTTCCATCATGCAACGCGCACACTCGACCAGCGTGCGATTCATTCTCTCAGCTACTCCGTTTAGCTGAGGAGTATATGGGGGTGTGAACCTTTGTTGTATTCCCCGTTCCGCGCAGAATCGTGCCAGCTTGTCGGACTTGTATTCACCCCCATTGTCGCTTTGAAGGTACTTCACGCGCTTTCCGGTTTGCGTTTCGGCCATCGCAGCGTATTCCATGAACTTCGCCGCAACTTCAGATTTGCTCTTGAGCAGATAGACGACACAGTATCTTGACTTGTCATCAATGAATGTCACGAAGTACCGTTTTCCACTGAAAGTTGCCATCGACATCGGTCCGCATACGTCGCTGTGAATCACTTCGAGGAGTTTGGAGGTGCGAGCTGTAGTGTTTGATTGGAAGCGCACTCGAGTCTGTTTTCCCAGAGCACAACCTTCACACACGTCCCACTTCTTCACCGAAGATATGTCGATGCCAATTCCAATGTTCTTCGTCACGATGCAATTGAGTCCATCGTGACCTATGTGGCCAAGCCGAAGGTGCCAGAGGTACGACTTGGTGCCCCCTTGACATCCCGACGACTTGGCTGCATTTGCTTGTTCCGGCGCCACTGGAGTCATTTGCAGCTTGAACAGTCCTTTACCTTCACGGGCACCAATTTTCCACTTGGTCCCTTTCGCTTCTCCATAGCACCCATCCTTCGTGAACGTCACTGGGCCGACATCCTTGATGAAGCGGCCGACCGAGAACAGGTTTCTGGATAACTTTGGGATGTGCCACACGTTTGTGAGCACACCTTTCTTCATCCCTTGGGGTGTCTTCATCGACATGACAATGTCCCCACTGCCGATTGCTTGGACGATTCTATCATCCGCGAGATGGACATCCACAGCGTCAAACCCCTTGTAGTTCCGCATGAACTTCTTGGAGCACGTCATGTGCTGCGTCGCCCCGGAGTCGACCAGCCAGATGTCGCTCGATTTCGCAGATGTCGTTTCACCGATCGAAAAGAGGTAGTCGCCCGAGTCTTCTTCTTGAGCGACGTTTGCACGTTGTGATCGATAGCGGTCGCCGCTGTCTTGAGCACGCTGTGGCCGGTGTCTCTCCGTGTTTTCTTGGATGCGCGAGGGGCACTCCGCCATCCAATGACCAATCTTTCCGCAATTGTGGCACGGCCAGGACTTCTTCACTGGTCGCCCTTTGCGCTGATTGTCCCTTGTGATGAACGCTTGACCTTGCGAAGCTTCATCACCTTTACTTCCTTGCTCCTTCCGCTTCATTTCTTCATGAAGCAGTCGAGACGTCACGAGCTCCCAGCTAAGAGTGTCTGAGCGCGACTCCAAAGCTGTGATCAAGAATTGATACGAGTCACTCAGGCTGCCGAGGAGTGTGATCACCAGATCGTCCTCGCAGACTGGAGCCCCCACCGCTTCTAGCTGTTCCGCCAGCGTCTTGAGCTTGTTGATGTGTTCGAGCACATCGTCGCCTTCTTCCATCATTGTCGTGAAGAAGCGACGGCGCAAGAACAGCTTGTTGGCAAGACTCTTCTTCTCGAAGTGGTCTTCCAACCTTGACCATGCGTCGCATGCACCACTTGCCGACCGGACCAACGGTAGCTGGGAATCTTCCATGGCTAGACAGATCACTGCCATCGCCTTTCTTGACTTCCTCTTGTACGTCGCTTGGTCCAACTGAGTCTCGCACTGTTCCGCCTTGATCTCACCGCTGACGACCTCCCATAGGTCCCGTTCCTCCAGCACCATCTGCATCTTGAACTTCCAGGCGTGGAAGTTAGTTCCATCGAACTTGGAGATGCGGAGGGAGGAGGCGTCCATGGCAGCTAAGCTTGAATTGTTGGCGGTTTCAGAGTCTGACGAACTTGGGCTCATAACCTGATGAACTTTAGACTTCTTGGTCCGAGTGCAAAACGCAAAGTGAATATATATTTATAATAGGTACTTAGTTCGCAACTTTGAATACTACCTCTAAGCCTATTATTCGCAGTGACGTCATCCAGTGACGTCACCCACTGACGTCACCCACTGACGTCATGCAATGACGTCATCCAGTGACGTCATTTCCTGACTTCGCCCTTACTGGTACATACCGGTACCCACCGGTATAGCGAAGCTTGGTCTTCCACTTGCTTCAACACTTGACGCAGCTTGACGAGGTGTCTTCTTCACAGCCGCTGTCTTTTCAACAGACAGCACTTCGATATGGCACGTTGCACATGGTGTCTTCGTGCTTGCATTCTTGTTCACACATGTTCTTGGTTAGCTTCAGGCCGGGATCTTGAGGCGTCTTCACTGGCTTGCTGTTATCCATTCCGAACTTGGTTAACACGGACTTGAGAAACTTGGTTTGTTGTACAGTCACCATTCCCGTCTTACGGTCGTTCTTGATCTCCATGCCGAGAAAGTAATCGAGCTCACCGAGATCCGTCATTTCGAAGCGTTTGCTC